GACATTCAGAGGGAGTGTGTGTCCATGTAGAATCAATAGATCTTAGTTTAGCATTACCCAGGGCTGTACTTCACTTGAAGCAAAGGGACATTTCAGACCACAAAAAGTCACATTCTTTCTTACACTGAGTTCTTAATTTAGGAAGTGCAAAGTTTGCAGTGCTGATCAATACGACGTGCTGGTAGAAAACTTGAACTACAAATGAGCATCTGATGGAGAAAAGGTGAGCTGTGACCTTAAAGGCTAAATTAAAGTCCAGAGAAATGCTATTCTTGATTCTTGACATTAAAAGATATTAGGTGATTATACAAAGCAGATTGCCTGTAGCCACAACCAGGATCTCAGTTCAATGTATCTCAATGGCTGCTACCACAGCAGGGTCACCTTAGGCATTTCTTCCCCAGTTTCAGATTCCAAACTTTCTACTGTACCTAGGAGTTTGTATTTAGCAGCTTCCCTTGCAGCTATATGTGGCTATGGGATACAGCTCGAAGTAAGAGTGATCTTGAAAAACGAGAATAGGTGTCTTTGTTCTCACTTGGAATTCAGGCATAATGGCGGAGCATAGGTACCCTCCTCACACCCCAAGCTAGTAATGTCCACCTTGATGAGAGGGAGAAAGAGCAAGATGGAAGAAGTGTGGGTCACCCAACCCATGGAAGATTGAATCTACCCAGTGAGTTTTGTTATTTGAGATAGAAAGAATTATTTTCTCTGTTGTTTAAAACCACTATTCATTTTGAGATTTCCTGGTGTGCGTGTGTGTGTGTGTGTGTGTGTGTGTGTGTGTGTGTGTGTTTTATGTGTACCTGTGTATGTGCTGGGAACAAAACCCAGGACTAATAGAAGAATAGTCAGTGCTTTTTACCGCTGCGCCATCTCTTCAGCCCCTACATTATTTCTTGGAAACAGTGTCTCAAGCCTGGAGCTAGTGTGGTGGCCAGCAAGCCTAAGTTACCCTCCAGTCTAGGCTTCCCAGACCACTGTTTACAGACATATGTAGTGGTTAAATAGCAATTTCCTCTGAGATGAAACATTCCATCCTAGAGGGAGGCTCTTAAAACTCAGGAAATAAACAACTCACAAGTCTCAAGAAGACCCTGAAACTGAACACAAAAGGTTCTCCTTCTTCAAGGTCATACAGGTAGGTAGGGTAGCTGTGGAAGAGGAAACTCTGGCCTGTTAAGCTGCTTGCACCTGGAGTAGAGGTACCCAGGCTGGCCTCTGCAGCAAGTGAGTCATCTATGCTCCTGAGTAGCTCCTCACCCAGACTCCTCTAAGTAATCACTCACTGATTCACCAAGTTGGAATTTGTACATTAATCTGGCATCAGTTCCCTATTTGCAGTGAGTAATTTGTTTTCTAGGAAAAGTCACACAACAGTGGTCACGCCTGGCTTCTTACATAGGTACTCGGATCTAAACTCAGGGCCTTATGCTCTCTTAGCAAGTGTTCTTACAAACTGAACCATCTCTCCATCCCCTAGTTGTTGGTTTTTTTTTTTCTTTTTTTTTTTTTTCTGGTGTCAAACACAATATCCCCATGGTCTTCCCCCATACCCCTGTTAAATTGGTCACTCTGGTGAGTGTTTAAAATGTTTTAAACATTTTTAAATACTACCACAGGGGCTGGAGAGATGGCTCAGCAGTTAACAGCACTTACTGCTCTTGCAGAGGACTGGGGTTCAGCTCCTAGCACCTATATCAGACAGCTCACCGTCACCTGTAACTCTTGCTCCAAGGACTCTGATGTCCTCTACTGGCTTCTGCAGACTTCTGAACGCACACTGACCCATGCAGGTTCACTCATAGGCACACAAATAAAAAGAAATCTAAGTAAATGACACAGTGTGTTGTTTGGACTGTAAAGCAGAATTGTAGACGCCAGGAGTCAGGAAGTGCTAGACTTGACAAAATGGAGGTTGTGGGTGGGTGGGTGGTACTGCAGTTGACTGAGAGCTATCCACATTGATTTGTGTGGTAGACAACATAGCTGATGGCACTTTCTGGAGAGGCTGTGAAACCTTAGGGTTGGAGTCACCGCCAATGCAGCGGGTCACTAGAAGCATGCATCTGAGGATAATGGTCTGGCTTAGCTTTCCCATATCCACTCTCTGCTCAGCCGAAGAGTGAACAAACGAGGCCAAAGCCCCTACTGCCACAGACAGAACCACCCAGCTTCCCTGGTGGACTGAATGCCTTGGCAGCATGAGCCACAGGAAACCTCCCTTTGGCTGTTCTGTGAGGGAGTCTATCATGGTGACTAGAGAGAGAATTGGCATAAGGGGCTGTGAGGGCCTGAGAAGGGTAGCAAGAGGCAGGCCATGCAGGGAACTGGGTGTGCCCAAGCAGAAGCACTCTGGAGAGCATCCTGTGGTCTCGTTTCTTGGTTATTTCTTGTTTACTTGTTTGTGTAAAGTACTTCCTGATTCTGTTTTCGTGGTTTAATTAAGTTTGTTCCACGTAAGAGACTTAGCCTCTCATCAGTTGGAGAATCACTCTTCAGAACCAATCGCAGTCCAGATTTTCTCAGAATCTCCTCACTTTCTATAAGACACTGGTCTCTGGGCACAGCGACATCACTCAGCAGCAGAAGTGCTTCTCCATGCAAGCCTGCCGACATGAGTTCAATCCCCAGAACTGACTCCTGAAAGTCATCCTCTGACCTCCATACACATGCAGTAGCGTGTCTGCCCACATTCAACACATCCACGCATCACACACAACAACAGTAATAAATAAAGTTAAGTCTTTAAAAGATCCTGGCCCCTTGCTGGACATAGTAGTGAGTGCAAACAGATCTCTGAGTTCAAGGCCTGCCTGGTCTACATAGCAAGTTCCATTCCAGCCAGGGCCATATAGTACGGCCCCCATATAAAAACAGATCCTGTGTCCTGTTCAGACAGGCTGTGTGGGCTGGTAGTGGTCACCTCAGGCTGTTCTGTGGATCTTTAAGCTCAGGCTGACCTCTCTTTTGGCTTCTGAAGTACTCACCTTGGGAAGACAGTTAAGTGCATAGTTTGAAATTAGACAGGGTTGGGGGCTACTGTTTTGAGTGGCTGTCATTGAATATAAAGATTTCCCAGTATTTTAGTCCCTCTTAGAACCACTGATGCTCTAAAGCAGTGGTTCTCAACTTGTGGGTCTTGACCCCCTTTAGTGGTTGAATGATTCTTTCATAGGGTTAGCATGTCTGATATTCTGCATATCAGATGTTTACATTACGATTTATAACAGTAGCAAAATTACAGGTATGCAGTAGCAATGGAAATAATTTTATGGTTGGGGGAGGGTCACCAAGACAAGAACTGCATTAAAGGGTCACAGCAGTAAGAAGGTTAAGGACCACCGCTCCACAGAGATATAAGAATGGGACTGGTGACATAAAGATGGAGAGGAAGAGTGGAGGAATGGAGGTCTTGCCAAGGTGTTCACTGGAAACATGTCCCCAGAGTTTGAATATTTTGCAGAATGGGACGGGGGGTGCTTTTTGAGAAAGACTCATATATCCCAGGCTGGCATCCAACCTTCCTCTCCCACCTCCTCCAAGTACTGGAATTACAGTTGTGGTCCACGGCACCCAGCCAGTGGTTGGAATCCCAGGAGGTGGGGCCAGTGGAGAAGTGCTTGAATCACCCCTTAAGAGGATGATGATGCCACCACTCCTGGGGGAAGGGGGTCCTCTCAGGAGTGGGTTGCTTACAAAAGCATTAGCTTAACTCTCCTCATACATTGTTTTCTGTGTGCCTCCCGCTCAGCTCTGCTCTTCCGTCATGGGCTAGTGAGAGCTCAGGCTCCTGCCAGAGGTGACAGCTGAGCCTCAGAGTCTGATCCACTAGCCCGTTCATTTCTGTGCCTCATGCATTAACTGGCCTGCCATGCTTGGCCATGGGGGTACAAAGTTGGCAGAGGCATGTCCCCCAGCTAATAGAGAGCTGTGGATAAATGAGAGGCGAGGCAAATTCAGTCACAAAGAGCCCTTCCAGGGAGGGCGTACAGCAACGCTGAGCATTTCTGTCAAAAGCAAGATACTTCAGTGTTCAAACATTTGTAAACCTCCCTTCCAGGCCCACGTGGGGAAGGCGTCCCCCACATAGAGGCCTGCAGCAGTCTACCTCATAGGCTCACTTGAAAGGACAGCTGTAATGTACCCCTGTGAGGAGACAGGGCCTACTGTATGGTCTTTAGGTCATTATCTGCACTCGGGATGACTGCCTCCTCTTTCACTTTCATTTCCCAGAGGTGAAGGGAGCAGTTTGACTGCCAATCAGTCCTGTCTTTGCCCAGGCTCAGAGCCATAGAGCCTGATAGGTTTTTTTTTTCTCCACCGCGGGTGAAATGAGCCAATTCAAGCCAGATTAGATTATATTAAAGGCAGGTTTATTGGGAAGCTGCTCTCCGGTGGGCAAGTTCTCTGGCCCCAAGGATCAAGGCCAGGGAAGTTGTAATGGGAAAAGGATTGGGGGTGAGGGCAGGAACGGGGAGGGGTGGGGAGAAGGCAGGGGAAGGAGAAAGAAAGAGAAAAAAGACTGCATTGCATGGACAAAGAGAGGAAAGAAATCAAAATGTCTCGATTATATAGGGAGGAAACTCTGGGGGGAAGGGCAGCCCAGCCCCTGGCCTAGGAAGTTCAGGGTTGGGGGTAGGGTATGCCAAGTAGGGACTGAGGGATGCTGGGAGAACCTGGAGGCCAGGTCTGCTTTGGTATGTAAAATATGCACCTCAGACCCTTGTCCTGGGGTTGAATTCCAAACAAAGTCAACCAGGTGTGGACTAGAACCTCCAAACTGTTGAGTCTGCAGAATCCACTCCTTTTTTATCTGTTACTTAAGTGTCTGGTACAGAAAGGGAAAGATGTCACACTTCAGCATAAGTTCATGTCGAACCCCTCTGATCAGACATTTGAGCACTCTATTTGTTTCCTTAGGGATCATGTTGTTGGGGGGGGGGGCTGCTCCCCACAAGAGGTGTTTCTGGGTTAAATAAACAGCAGCTTTAATATATATATATGACTGATGGTAACGTGCTTTATTGGTTAAGAACCCTTCCTTCCCCAAAGCGCATTTGCAGATGTAGCTTAGTGATGCTGGCACAGTGGTCAGGCAGTGACATCATCCCCAGGCAAAGGAGAGACAAGCATTCCAGAACATCCGGCTTTTGTAAATAACTGTGACACCTGACCTTTGAATTCTGACACGGGACCTCTACACACCTCTCCTGACGTGGGTTTGAACTCTGGGCTCAGAGGAGCTGCTCTGGAGATTCAGACCTCTTTACTCGCACCCCACCCCACCCCCCTTTTTGTGTCCAGAGAGGTAAGACCCTAGCTCAGGCCAAGGGCCAAGGAAGTGGACACATTTCTCAGTGCGCCCCCAAATGCTCAAAGACCAAGCAGTGAGGGCTTGCTGCTGCCTCCGCTGGAGCCTTCATGAAAGTGTCGGTGCTGGCTCTGAGGTACAGAATAGAAAAGCTGGGAATTACATCCTATCGAATCAAGCTCTGATTTCATCCCTGAAGCTCTGGTTTACAAAGTTTGCTTCCTTCCAGCCTGCTTCTCTTAAAAGGAGATGCTTGCTGCCGCTAAGAAAAGAAAAAGGCCCAGATGTGCCTTCTGAGTTGGAGCAAGTATGATACGGATTCTGACTCTTCCTCCATTTCCTTTAGAGCCTGATGCTTTCCATGCACGAGTGGCTCTTGGCTCCGTTTGTCTTCTCTCTTCCTCCAAGCTGCTTGCTTTAGCACAGGTAGCCATTCCACATCCTGCTCACAGTAGCACAGCCTTGTTGAAATTCAACAAAAGGGCCACTGGAGGTACGGAGCACCGTTGTAGGGATATCTCATCGAAACACAACCCCCACACAAACACACCCCAGCTGACCTCCCATGCCCCAGTGACCTCCTGTCACAGTCTTGGGTACCACTGTTGTGTGGAGTCTTGTGACTTCAGTCAACACTCATCCTCAATTCCCTAGCAGGAGAGAAGAACGCCCAAACTGAATTCAGGGACCCAACCTCCATCATGAGGGCCATCCAATCATCGTCCAGGTTCCCTGTGATGTCATACAGACGGGTAAGGCCTCTTTTGGAAAGCATGCTCATGCTCGGCTCTCAGGTGCAACAGTGAGAAGTGACACAACCTGATACAACCCATTCACAGCCTCTCCAGGGCTTATTAGCGTGCCAGCCACAGCCTGCCTCCCCACCCCCACCTCTACCACCTCCATGCCCATCAGGACCCCATGAGGGCTTGTAGCTCAAGATCATATCAAAAATGCTGCCATCTCCACTCCATTGACACTCTTGACCCTTTTGTTTCTTCTTTGTGAAGGCAGGGGATGGGTCTGCTCGGTGGCTGCATCTAAATAAGCTTCCATAAGCTGTAAAAGCAGTTCTTAGAACACTCCTCCAAAGGTCCCTGAGATGCACCTCCATCTCCTGCACTGAGCTGCAAACAACGTCTGGGACTGAGCCATAAGCACTCTCAGCAGTGAGCCTACCAGCCCACTGAGGACTGACCTGTAAGCACCTCTGGGACTGAACCATAAACACTTTCAGAAGTGAGCTATAGGTCCATCCAGAACTGAACTGTAAGCACAGCAGAACTGTCTGCCAAACAGGAGGAGCCTGGGGGGTGGATATGTTTCTGGGGACTCTTGGATTCCAGTGGTCCAGGACTGGGTCCCATCTCTTGACGTCTACCCAGAGCTGAGCACCTGATGGTTGTTGGGACAGGTGTGGCGAGCACAGACTTCTATCATTTAATCTTCCAAGCTCATCTCCAGCTTCCTGATGAGGTGCTGGTAGGTGTCTCTCTCCACCTGCCAGGAATGATGTGTCCTCACATACTCCCTTCCGTTGGTCACGATTTCCTTCTCCAGTGCAGGATCGCTAACCAGTCTCTTTGCCAACTGAATGAACTCCTGAAAGACAGGAAGTGGATGAGAAACACACATGAGTGATGGGCGGAAGGGAGAACCCCAGAGAAACACCTTTTGTGGGGGCAGGAATCAGAGTAATGCAAGCATTTGGAATTAAGAAACACTGTATATGTCAGGTGGCAAGATGGCTCAGTAGGTAAAGGTACTTGCCACGGAGCTTAACAGCCTGAGTTCGATCCCCAGACTCACATGGTGGAAAGTTGAGTCCCACAAGCTGTCATTTGACCTCCATGTGTGGCATGTTCACATACACACACACCAGGGCACACCATGTCCACAACCATCTACTCACACTATTCTCGCTGCAGTGTTGCAGTGATCTGTACCTACAAGTAACATGAGCACAAACACACAGCCCCACAGATCTGTGCCCACAAACACCTGCTGAGAAGGTCCCTGAGAAACCCTGGAGCTGGCAATCATGCTCCTCCCCAGGCTTCCCTAGTCTAACAAGAATCATCTCTTGGCCTACTTCTGCAGTGGGCGGTGGTTCTGCAGAGACTCGCACATGGTCAGAGTGAAGATATAAGTGACTCAGCCTTCAGTGGGATGTGTGCACCACACTCTCCAGGCTCACGGAACACCATGTGGGGTGTTAAGATGGTAAGAGCTGGAGGAAGGGGTACAGTGTTGTGGAATGTTGTGTAAGACTCTGACGAGCCTTAGCTACTGGGGACCCCCACCCACCCCCCAGTGAACCACGCAGAGTCAGAGATCGATGCAAAAGCAAGAGAAGTTTATTTTTCCAGCATGTTGGGGTCATCCTGAATCTAAAAGGAGAGGTGCCGACCTTGGCAGCCTGTTCAGCCAGTTTTTATACAGTTTTCAGGGACAGAATAGAGCAACAGCCACCTGGCACAGTGTGACTGGCAGAACAGTGTGACTTTGAAACTGATTGGGCCTTAGGGTAGTGGGGGGAATGGTTGGCCTGCCCTGAGGAATGTGTCTACCTGCTCTGTTCCCCCTGTGGTCTTCCTGAGGAATGTAATTCAGCCTCTCCCTTCCAGAGGGGGTCTGGTGGAATCCTTCAAAGGCTCTGAGCTGACCTCTTCAGTTTCAGGTATGGTTCACCTGCATAAGACTGGGCCCACTAATATTCTGTCATCAATTGAGGAGTGGCTCACTCCTTCCTGACAAATCTGTAACTGGCTCATGGTTGATAGGGGATATAAAGTGTCCTGATTAGATCTGTATCAATTTGACATCTTTTTGGGTGACCCTCAGTTGATAATAATATAATAATAATAATATATTAATAATATATTATATGATATATAATATATTAATATATAATATATTATAATATATACTATATTACTGTATAATATAGTATATTAATATATAATATATACTATATTAATATATAATATAGTATATTAATATATATAATATATTATATATGATATAATAATAATACTTAATGTGAGATGGTCCAAGCCACTGTTATGTGGAGCCACCCCTGGGCTAGTGGTCCTGGGTATTATAAGAAAGCAGGCTGGCCGGGTGGTGGTGGCGCACGCCTTTGATCCCAGCACTTGGGAGGCAGAGGCAGGTGGATTTCTGAGTTCGAGGCCAGCCTGGTCTACAGAGTGAGTTCCAGGACAGCCAGGGCTACACAGAGAAACCCTGTCTCGGAAAAACCAAAAAAAAAAAAAAAAAAAAAGAAAGAAAGCAGGCTGAGCAAGCCATGGAGAGCAAACCTGTAAACGGCTGTTATCTGTGGTCTCTGCCTCAGTTCTCGGCCCCCAGGTTCCTGCCCTGTTTGAGTTCCTGGCTTCCCTGATGATAGACCTGTGTTTGGTTAGAAGTCCCGGGCTTGTCCTGCTCCCCGACTTGGTTCTGCAGGTTTCATTCCTCCCTCTCTCTCCAACTAACCCTGCCCACTTGAAAAGCCTGGGGACAGAAAAAGTGACAAAAAGCCCAGTCCTGCATTCCAGACAGCTGTCCCAACCCCCCTCACATAAAGTCACCAGCCAGCGACACCCCCCATCCCCCACACAGGCACAAGCCCAGCATGTGGCAGACATACCATTCTCCCTTCACTCTCACCCCACCAACCCTCCCTCCTCCACTTTCATCTCCTGGGACTGGTGAACTCACCCAAGAGCCCATTCCCAAATAAACCTGCTAATTTTTTTGCTTTATTTTTTAAAGATTTATTTTATGCATATGAGCACCACCATTGCTCTCTTCAGACACACCAGAAGAGGCCACCAGACCCCATTCCAGATGGTTGGGAGCCACCATGTGGTTGATGGGAATTGAACTCAGGACTCCTGGAAGAGCAGTTAGTGCTCTTAACCACTGAACCACCTGTCTAGCTCCACCCCACCCCCCTTTTTTTTTGCTTTTAATTTGGCTGAATTGACTTATTTCTTCAGGGGAGAAAAACTTGTCAACTCAGATTAGGATTTTGAAGCTGTTGGACCCAAAGATCCAAAACTGGGGGATGTGCTCCCACAGAAACACTCACGGATGGGATTCGCTCCAAAAACATGAAATTTAATGATAACCAGTGCACTGGGGCTCCCTTGAACGCAGGCAAGAGGAACCCTGAGCCAAAGCTGGAAGCAGTTTTTATACAGAGTTCACGAGGGCAACCACAAAGGCTGACCTTCCCAGGTCTGGTCTCTAGGTGACTCAGATTTGCACATTATTTTTATGACAATGAGTGTTAGCTAAGTGGCTTCTGTTTGCCCAGGTTTATTAAGGGCCCAGCTTCCTGATTACCTCTGATCTTGGGCCCTTCCCCTGGAATGTGTGTTAGCCTTTGGAATGTGCTCCTCCCAGGATGTGTCCTGGGGCAGTTAATTCTTGAGTTTAAACCAAAACCTGAGATTCAAACTGAGACCTGAAATTCCTACAAAGCCAAATGAATCCTTTCTTCCCCAAGTTGTTTTTGGTTATGATGGGTTTTTTTTTTTATCACAGCAATGAAAGCTCAAGTGTAAGAAAGATATTTTCTTCAGTAGTATAGCCACCAGTAAAGAGTCCATATTTATGAAAATAACCAAGTCACATAGAGGATGAACAGATAGAGGAGGGGCAGGTGGGGGAGGGGCAGGAGAGAGAAAGAGAGAGAGAGAAATCAATGGGAAGAGAATGAGCAGGGGAGAGAGTAAGCAGGGAGAATGGTCCAAATACATTAAATAGGTATGAAAATGTCATAACAAAACATGTTATTATATATAATTAATATTATAAATAATATATGAATTAATCTTATATTTAATGTTATCTAATATAAAATATTTAATATTATATATAATGTATAAATATAGCATCAATATTATATCTAATAGCAATAATCACTTTCTTTGCAGTGACCCAGGAGTCACGATTTCTTCCCTCTTTTATGGCCACAGCCAAAGACCCTCGGCTCACACACTGGGGCCAGAGAAGCTCTTTACACCACCGCCAATGCCTGGTGCAGAAGGAAGCTCTGGGACTCAGGGCCAAGTCTGTGTTCCAATTCTGCACCACTCCTCTCTGCTGCATGATTTCCGACGTGCTAGTTACCACCTCTGAGCTCACACTGACCACCTGCTGTAAGTGCCCATGATTCGCTGAAGGATGATATCCCCGGACCCAAATAGTATGTAATGTAGACACAAGGAGTGTTTTATTCTGCAGAAATCCAGCATTCTGGGGTCTCTGATTACCGAGATAGAGAGACAACCAAGTGAGCTTGCAGGCCTGATTTAAAGCACATTAGGGGAATTCCGGGGTCTAGAACCATTACCAGGATGTGAGGCCTGGAAACTGTGGCCAAGGAATCCTGGGAGTAGATGAGCTGTATCTTACTCTAAGCATTCCAGAACCATTAGGTTGGGGGTGGGGGGTGGGGTGGAGGGGGTGAGGGTGGGGAACTGTTGCTGGGGAAGTAGCTGAAGAGGTCTGGAAACTGCTGCCGACCCATTGTCCTTACCTCAGGCCAGGTGGCGGGGCAGCTTCTGAGGCCTGGACTTGGCCTGGACTTGCCCAGTTCTTGGAAACAGAGATTTAGGTCTAGTCTCATTAACTGCCAATGTGAAGCCTGTCATGGAGTCAGCCTCGCCTTCTCACTGTGAATGAGCAAGGGCCACTGCCCCCTCAGGCCGCATGCAGGCAGAGCATGAGAAGGTCCTGGGTTTTGTTTTCTTGCCTCTGCTCCTGTAGCTTCCCTTCAGAGCACGTGTGCCTTATTAATTGATGCATTGGGAGCCTCCTGCTGACCAGTACTTAATTTCAAAGCCTCTCATAATTAGAAAAATTAAGATGTATTCTGATATCAAAGCTTGTTTAGGGAGAGAGGGGAACATCCATTATTTATTACGCTTGCAAGGAACGCTGAGCCAGGAGGCCTGGGCTTAAGTTCACAAACTCCCCTTTCTCGAGGGAGACAAAGAGGCTTGCAGATGGGACCCAACTGTCAGCCAGAGCAGTGGTGGCAGTTGCTACCGAATCTCATGCTGACAGGGCTGGGGCAGTGGCAAAGTCAGGAAAGTGCTTGCCTTGCAAACAGGACCTGAGTTCCATCTCCAGCACCCACTGGAAAGAACTTCCATGTGGCTACACACATGTATAGTCTTTCGGCACCAGGACGGTAGAGACAGGGCTCTCTACCTGGGGCTCACTAGCAGGCCAGCGTAGCTTCCTTGTGAATTCCAAGCCCATGGAGACCCTGTCATAACAAATCAAACAAGCAAGGGGAACAGCAGCTGATGTTATCCTCTGGCCTCCACAGGTACCCCACCACCCACATGCATACTTGTGAGCACACACACAGACACACACACAGACACACACTAAGACTCTCGTGCAGAAACACATACGTACTTAATTACCATTGTAACCTTACTCCATCAGGTCTAGTAAATGCCAGCCAGGAGACAGTGCCTGAGATTAACACACAGCGCTTTCCCATCAAGAGGGAACAGCCACATATCCTCAAAATTATTGTTAATTAAATGTTGAATGCCTTTTATAGCTGGCAATATAAA